ATTGAATATTGATTTTAACTTTTTAAAGCTAAAGTCAATATTCTATATTTTTAACTTTATTTAAAAAGTTACAGTCAATATTCAATATTCAATATTGTGTGGTTTAATATTGAATATTAATTGTAATTTTTTAAATAAAGTTAAAAATATTGAATATTGTGACTTTTTAACTATTTATTTAAAAAGTTAAAGTCAAAATTCAGTATTCAATATTTTTAACTTTATTTAAAAATTTAAAGTCAACATTTAATATTTTAACCTTATTGAATATTGTTGTGACTTTATTAAAAATTTTAAAGTTAAAAAGTTACACAATATTCTGACTGGAACATCCGTTGAGAAAGGCAGTACGACAGGAGGTTTAAATGGGTCTAAATTGGTTTAAATGGGTTAGTACAATATAAATGAGATTAAATGGGGAGCCCTAAACCATGATTATGGGTAGGTAATTGGGGGTTATTAGGGGGTTTTTAAAATATAAAATTATTAAAATTTGAGTAAAAGGAAGAAAGAGAGTGTTTTTTTGTTGAAATAGTGGGGTGTATTGAAATATAAAATTAATAAAATTTGAGTAAAAAGAGGAGATAGTGGAGAGAGGGTATGTTTAAGTTGTATGTTAAAAAACTTTTAGAGAGGGTTTTTAGGTGTGTTTAAATATAAAATTAATAAAAATTGAGTAAAAGGATGAAAGAGAAGGTATAAAGTTGAGTAAAAAGAAGAGAGAATGTGTGTTTTAATAATTTTATATTTAAAAAACCCTCTAATAACCCCCAATTACTCACCTATAATCATGCCTACAAAAACTAAATGGATCCAAATGGGGATGGATCTTAAATGGGGATGGGTCTAAATGGATTGGGTTTAAATGGGGTGGGTTTACCCATTTTAACATCCCTACCTATAATCAGATATGTAAAAATCTTGTATAAATAAATTTATTGGCTAATCATATATATATATTTCTTATCATCAAATAGGTTAAACAAGTTATATCTTGTATAAATAAATGTGTTGGCTTTAATAGCATGACCGCAAAGATATTCTTACAGATGAACATCGTTTAAGACAACACATATATGTTCATAGAAACGGACATCACATTTACATACTAAAACCGGCGGATACTTTGTGGCAGCTTCATCGGTAAAGATACTTTACTATTAAGAACAACATGATTAAGTTACATCAAATAAGATCAAAATTTAGATAATTATCCACCACGAAGAATATCGAATGTTGTTGAGATTCGTCAAGATTTCAGTTGAAAATTTATCCACCGCGATGGATTATGGATGTTGTTGCCAAGAGGAGAAGACGTTTTAGCCCCATATACATTACTTGGTAACACTCAAAATGTGACTAGTGTTGAAAAAGTAAATAAATAGTACCATGGAACTTACAAAAAAAAAAAAAAATGCATAATAAAATTAAATGGGCTGAAGTGGGTATTAATGGGCCTTTATTTTCAGGCCCAGTATATATTTTTATGTTTTATGGACTTGACCAGTCACCGTCTTTCCTCGCCGGTAGAGAGCAACGGGAATTTCCATGGCGGCGAGGTCACCGGAGATTACATAAAAGATAAATCCCAAATCAAAATTCTGAAAAGATTTCAATTT